AATGTTCATACTCCAGTGTAGGAGCCCATAGGGTGGTAAGAAATAGCCTGGCAGACGACCGGCGGCAGTCGCTGCCAGGCTAATTATTCTTTTGAATACAGGGTCATACCGTGACGTCATGGTTTATTTGTAAATGGTTTTAGTGGAACAGACGTTGTCTGGGGTGAGGTGATGGTTTAATTATCTTTTGTTAAATGATTGGCAATTCTAAGCATTTATAGTCTAAATTATGAATATGTGTAATATATCATGGTTTACCCGCATGGTCCTTTTTGTAACTGCTTTGGTGGACACCTTGTTCATGTTTCTTTAAGTTGTGGGGAACTAGTCACCACACTGGAGGGAGTCTGCTGGAGGTGTGAGGCAAGTATTTACTCCTTAATCCTCTGCCCCTAGACTAAATGAGCATTTAACCCTCACAGTGCAGGAGGGCCCAAGTGCAAGGGTGGAGGGGGGTTGGAGACGAAGCTAACTTGGGTTGCACAGTAGAAGCCACCTTCGGTCCCTTGAGTCTCTAGGCCCATGCTTATTTTGCTTTAAGTGTTACTAAACCCAGAACCCTGCATTCACTTTATCTGGTCTCCCACAGTAAACAGAACATGGAAATGCAATTACTTTAGTAAATATAAAATGCTAAATACCTTTTCTCATCAGCAGTTACAGCAGTCTTGTGACTTCAGCAGAGCACTGGTCAAAGCTTGTAGGTGGTGTTTTCTTTCTGCTCTAGGAGAATGTGAAACCCCTGACCCTCTGCCTGGCCTGATCACATGAACTCTCCCAAGAAAAAAATCCCCTCTCTAGCAATACACACTAAACTGTGCATATGATTGATGTCTTTGCACAATATGATCTTATCAGGAGATAAGAGGGGTACACTGGAAGAAGGGGAGGATCAGAGAAGTGAGGATCAAACAGCATTTTTACACAATACAGATGATTAACCCCTTAGGTTCCACAGTGAGTATAACAAGCATATGTTACTGCATATACAGACTGATTTTACTGTTGTGAGTTTAGTAACACTAATGACAAAAGGGTCCAGACTCTAGAAATCTAGAAAACCAATGCAGAAGCTATGAAACAACAGGTAAATGAATGGTGAATTTGCCATCAATATAAGGCCAGAGAACATTTTTTGCATATAAATAGCCATGATTGGCCAGGACAAGGTCAAGTGAAGGAATTTTGCATCATTAACTTTTTAGAACTGCTAACATCTTTTCTCCCTTGAACTTTCCCAATTTTAGAAGGATAAGAATGATTGAATTTCAGTGTCTGCCAAAGCTCCACCCAGCTATGCCTAGAGGGCCACAAAATGACTGGAGGTATAATCTATCAGTGTCCCTCCCACCTACTGAACATGAAGCTGTTGTCCAGCTGCCTCTGGCTAAACTATCCCCCCCCAAAAAAACCTTTCCTCCACTGCAGGCTGTGCTCTTCACGGTATACCTGTCAAAGCCACTCTTCCTTATTTTGTGAAACTTAAAAAGGGACCCAGCCAGGACAGCTATTTCCTAATATCGAGTTTACCATGCAATTCTGGAGGCTGCCATTGTTCAGCTCCCAGGGACAATGCTTGCATAGCCATGAGTTCATCTATAAGGTTTAAAACCTGAGCTCTCTCCTGGACTGGACGTTAGGCATGGGAGTCTTTAGTGCTAGATGACAGCCTTAGGAATAAGCATCAGACAGGTTCCATTTAATTTTCACCAAAGTCACCATAATAAAAAATCATACAGAAAGTTTTGACGAATGGACCTGTGTCCAGATAAGTCATGAAGACCATCAAGAACAGAGTGTTTGCACCTGCTTCAAGAGACAGCTTTACATTATCAAGCAACCAAAATTCTTCTCCAAAAGTGATAATCATAAAAGGAGAATATGAATTTTAACCAGAACTATATGAAAGCCATTTATAAAATAATCTTTATGGATCATGGAGCCCACAAATATTTCTATATTATGTCAAAAGCACAGCAGTCCTTAACGTTTAAAAATACATTGTATTTATAAAAAACTATTAATATATAGTTATAAATATGTAGTTCAATAAAAAATAAAATGCAAATACTCGGACCTCACATTGTTTCGCTCCACTTTAGCGCAGCAATATCTGCACATTTATCAGGGAAGCTATACATAAAATGCATGGCAATGAAGGATGATGCATTGTTTTGTTACTAACAAAGGAAATTCAGTCTTTCACACATCCTTCAGCTTAACAGCAGCAAATTTGCACATGGACAAAATAATCAGTAGTTGCTGCATAATATTTCCTTACCTAAATACTTTAAAAAATATAAAGGTGAAAAAAAAAATAAAAGTGTAAAAAATTGCATTCAAACACTTTGATAAATGAGGTGCATAAGGTGAGGAAATCCTATTGAGGAGACAGCAGCCTATCAGGTCACAGTATCTAGTGACATCATAGAAGATTTAAAATGATGCAAAGACAGAAGGTGCAGTCCATCAGCTACATTTTGTTGTCATGCCGACTAATCATTAAAAAGGAAACCTGGATAAGGCCAAATAAACAGACCAACAATGGTGACCTTTCCTGGCCTGGCTCTCACATTGGGGTTTATTTACAAAAGCTGGAGAGTCCAAAATCAGACTCCCTTCTGCATAGAAACCAATCAGCTTCCAGGTTTCATTGCCAAAGATTCATTGAACAAGCTGAGGTTAGAAGCTGATTGGTTTCTATGCAGAAGGGAGTCTGATTTTGGACTCTCCATCATCTTTAGTAAATAAACCCCATTGAGTCAATGGTCTCCATATCTTCCGAGTCACAAATCCTTAAAAAGCATGCAGGTCAGCAGTTCTGATTTTACACAGTTGAATGCTTGCTCAGGGACAGTGACTCATGATATTAAAACCAGAGACAGCCAAGCTACTAGCATTTTCAGAAACTCAAAAATTACAGTCACTAAACACTCAGTACAAGTTTCCTTTTTATACTGCGTAGCACATCAGTCCCCTTTGCATTGATGTTATTTCACAAGAATATACAGTGAAGGAAATAAGTATTTGATCCCCTGCTGATTTTGAATGTTTGCCCACTCACAAAGAAATGATCAGTCTAAAAATCGAATGGTAGGTGTATTGGAACACTGAGAGACAGAATAGCAACAAAAAATTCAGCAGAAATACATGTCTAACAAATGATGCACTGATTTGCATGTTCATGAGGGAAATAAGTATTTGATCCCCTATCATTCAGCAGGATTTCTGGCTACCAGGTGTCTTTCATAGAGGTAACAAGCTAAGATTAGAAGCAGTATCTTAAAGGGAGTGCTGCTAATCTCATTTTGTTACCTGTATAAAAAAAAAACACCTGTCCACAGGAGCAATCAATCAGATTCCAAACTCTCCACCATGGCAAAGACCAAAGAGCTGTCCAAGGATGTCAGGGACAAGATTGTAGACCTACACAAGGCTGGACTGGGCTTCCAAACTATCACCAAGCAGCTTGGTGAGAAGGTGACAACAGTTGGTGTAATTATTCGCAAATGGAAGAAACACAAAACAAATGTCAGTCTCCCTAGGTCTGGTGCAAGATCTCACCTCGTGGAAGGTCAATGATCATGAGAACAGTGAGGAATCATCCCAGAACTACACGTGAGGATCCTGTCAATGATCTCCAGGCAGCTGGGACCACAGTCACCAAGAAAACAATTGGTAACACACTACGCCGAGGATTGAAATCCTGCAGTGCCCGCAAGGTCTCTCTGCTCAAGAAAGCACATGTCCATGCCCGTCTGAAGTTTGCCACTGAACATCTGAAATGATGCAGAGGAGGACTGGTTGAAAGTGTTATGGTCAGATGAGACCAAAATGGAGCTCTTTGGCATCAACTCAACTCGCCGTGTTTGGAGGAGGAGGAATGCTGCCTATGACCACAAGAACACCATCCCAACTGCCAAACATGGTGGTGGAAACATTCTGCTTTGGGGGTGTTTTTCTTCTAAGGACAGGACAACTGCACCGCATCAAAGAGACAATGGATGAGGCAATGTACCGTCAAATCTTGGATGAGAACCTTCTTCCCTCAGCCAGGGCATTGAAAATGGGTCGTGGATGGATATTCCAGCACGACAATGACCCAACACACATGGCCAAGGCAACAAGGGAGTGGCTCAAGAAGAAGCACATTAAGGTCCTGGAGTGGCCTAGCCAGTCTCCAGACCTTAATCCGATTGAAAATCAGTGGAGGGAGTTGAAAGTTCAAGTTGCCAAATGTCAGCCACCAAACCTTAATGACTTGGAGAAGATCTTCCAAGAGGAGTGAGCCAAAATACCTCCTGAGATGTGTGCAAACCTGGTGGCCAACCACAGGAAACGTCTGACCTCTGTGATTGCCAACAAGGGATTTGCCACCAAGTACTAAGTCATGTTTTGTGAAGGGGATAAAAAACTTATTTCCCTCATGAACATGCAAATCAGTGCATAATTTGTTAGACATGCATTTCTTTTGAAATTTTTGTTGCTATTCTCTCAGTGTTACAGTACTCCTACCATTTGATTTTTTTAGACCGATCATTTCTTTGTGAGTGGGCAAACATTCAAAATCAGCAGAGGATCAAATACTTATTTCCTTCACTGTATATATATATATATATATATATATATATATATATATATATATTATTTTGACTAGATAGATCAAAAATGTCTAAGTCTACAAACTGGCTTCCTTTACAGAGAAGTTTGCTTCTTTTATTCTAAACCCTTATGGACTATTTTTTTTCTTCTCTCTCTTTACTGTCATCTTCTAAGTGTTGGGTTGTCTTTAGAAAGATATTTTAAAGCAATATGGAAGTTGCCACTTGTAGGAATGAAGGCTAAAGTTGATAATAGTATGAATATTGAAGTCCAAAGGGGGAGGAGTCTTTCCTGAGATGCTCCACTCAAGCAGTATAAAGAAGGTGTATGCACAGTGACTAGAATGGACTTGACCCAGACACTGATGGTATCACTCCTATTCAGTACTAGCAATGTTCTCAAGGTTTCTGCTCAAACTGAACACCATTCTCCTGGTAGACCATGATCTGTTTTTTCAGTTCTTCTATTGTTGTTAACAAGGCTGATCTCTCCAGTTCCAAAGTGCGGAGCGACTGTTTTTAATTTGGCCTCATTGTTTTGAAGATTGTCAATTGTGGATTCCAGACTTTGGATTCTTCCTTTAGATACCTAAAGAGCAGAATAAAACACATAGGTATCAAGGGAGGCATCTTGCATGTCTAAGAATGATATGCAGAGCATTTAGTTTGTGTGGTACATTATTACATAAAAAATGGTTGGATCAGATAAATTAAAATTTGACTCCAGCGATACAATTTGCAGGTACCTGTGTATTCATACCATTGTGAAAAACGTTTCTGAATCTTAGCTAAAACATAGCTTATTTTTTGGATCATTTAATTTAAAAAAACTGAAAATCCTATCCTATCACAAATGCTATACAATTTTAAACAGAAAACTTGGTTATATTTTGTGGTAATTAAAAGGGGGTGTGCAAACAAAAAACGTGTTGGGAAAAATTAAAGAAAATTGCAAATGTTATAAAACCTAACATTTATAAAATGAGTGAAACTGAGACATCACCAAAAACCAAGGAAAAAAGTTATAATCCTATACCCACAGTTGATCCAGAGGAAGGCAAAAAACCCAGCAAAGTATGAACCAATTTTGCTCCTGCATGGGGAAAAAATTCCTTCTTGATTCCCCGAGAAGTGATTGGATATTCCCTGGATCAACTTTACCTATAAACGTTAGTATCCAGTTATATTCTGTGTATCTAGGAAAGAATCCAGGCCTTTCTTAAAGCAATCTACTGGCCAGAACCAACTCTTGAGGGAGTCTGTTCCACATTTTCAAAGTTCTTACTGTGAAGAAGCATCAGGGTGAATAAATTCAGTTCCTCTAATCTTTCCTCATAGCTGAGCTCCTCTATGCCTCTTATCATCTTATTGCCCTTCTCTGTACTTTCTCCAGTTCCACAATGTTCTTTTTGTGAATTGGTGCCCAAAACTGAACTGCATATTCCAGATGAGGTCTTACTAATGATTTGTACCGGGGAAAATGATATCTCTCTCTCTGGAGTCTATACCTCTTTTAATACAATAGAGGATTTTGCTCACTTTAGAAACTGCAGCTTGGCATTGCATGCCATTATTAAGCTTGTGATCTACCAGAATTCCCAGATCCTTCTCCGCCATTGATTCCTCCGTTATACCCCCCCTAGTATGTATGATGCATGCATATTCTTAGCCCCCCCAAGTGCATAACTTTACATTTATCAACATTAAACCTCATTTGCTACATAGTTGCCCAATTAAACAGTGCATTGAGGTCGGCTTGTAAACTGGAAATATCCTGTGAGGTCATTATTCCACTGCACAGCTTGGTGTCATCTGCAAAGATTGAAATGGGATTTATAATCTCAGACCCTATATCATTTATAAATATATTAACAAGTAAGGGTCCCAACACTGAATGGTCTAGGGCAGGGGTGGGCAGCTGTGGCCCTCCAGCTGTTGGTGAACTACAAGTCCCATCATGCCTCTGCCTTTGGGAGCCATGCTTGTAACTGTCAGTTTTGCAATGCCTCATGGGACTTGTAGTTCTACAACAGCTGGAGGCCCACAATTGCACACCCCTGGTCTAGGGTTCTTAGTGGTGTACCCCAAGGTTCAGAGTATGAATCATTAACCACTACTCTCTGAATATGATCTTTTGACCAGTTTTTTCTACCCATTTACATACGGATCTTTCCAAGTCTGTAGACTTTACCTTACACATTAGCCGTGTGTGGAGAACTGTGTGAAACACTTTTGCAAAATCCAAGTATACCACGTCCACCGCCACCCCTCTGTCCAAGGTTTTGCTCACCTCCTCATAAAAAAAGAAATCAGATTTGTTTGACAACTTCTGTCTTTCATGAATCCATGCTGTCTGTTGCTTAAAATATTTTTTTCCAGCAAGAACTCATCTATGTGGTCTTTTATTAAACTCTCCAGTATCTTCCCAACTATAGAAGTTAAACTAACAGGTCTATAATTACTTGGTAAAGATTTTGATCCCTTTTTAAATATTGGCACCACATTGGCCTTACGCCAATCCAGTGGTACTGTGCCAGTCATTAAGGAGTCCCCAAAAATTAGAAACAGTTGCATTGAAATGACAGAGCTCAATTCTTTAAGGAACCGTGGGTGTATGCCAGGTGCTTTATTCTGTCTAAATATTTCTGGATCATATCAATTGTGAGCCAATGTGGATCATCTTGAGCTGTGTCAATACCATGCCCATTATGGACAAGACCTCCCCCATGCTCCTTTATATACACAGAGCTGAAGAAGGTATTTAAAACATTTTCCTCCTCTTTGTCCCTAGTCACTCACTCTAGATGATTTTATCATGGGCCTACATGCTCGGACCGGACCTTTTTACTAGTATTATATTTGAAGAATGTTTTGGGGTTTGTCATGCTATTTTTTGCAATCTGTTGTTCATTTTCAATTTTTATGGCCTTTATTCCTTTTTTACATATTCTGTTATATTCTTTGTAATGTTTAAACGATGATAGCGTTCCTTCATTTTCATATTTAATAAAAGCTCTTTTCTTATTATCTATAGCTTTTTTAACTTTGGCCGTAAGCCACATAGATTTGATTTTTAAACTTGTTGCCCATGGGAATATATTTTGCAGTGTGATCACATACAGTATTTTTGAAGAACTCCCATTTCTGTGATGTGTTCATTGATACCAATATTCCCTCCCAGTCTAAGTCTCAGAGAGCAGCTCCCAGCCTTGGAAAAGTAGCTCTCTTAAAGTTGACTGTTTTTATTTTTCCTGTATGTGCTTGCTGTTAACAGCTAACAATAAATTAAATCATGTTATGGTCACTGCTACCCAGATGTTCTGTTATATGGACATTAGCAATAAGCTCTGCAAGGTTTGAGATTACCAGGTCCAGCAGAGCATCATTCCTATTTGGGGCCTCTATGAACTGTACCATAAAATTGTCCTGTAGTAGGTTTATACATTTTTGCCCTTTAACTGTTCCTGCAGTGCCATTACTTCTGTCAATTTCCGGGTAGTTAAAATCCCCCATTATTATCACTGTCCCAGCCCTTGCAGCCCTTTCAATCTGTGCAGGAAGCGGTGTCTCCACCTTCTCATTAACCACTCGGTGGCCTATAACAAACTCCAACAATTACTTTTGTAGTACGCACCCCCATGTGCAGTTTCACCCATAATGCTTCAGCCTCATCACACACTCAAACTAGGTCCTCTGTCTCTATGTGAGAAGTGATCTCAAAGTGAGTGTGAAAGACACCACCACCTTTCCTTTTTACCCTGTCTCTCCGAAAGAGAACATAACCAGGAATATTAGTGGCCCAGTCATGCGAAGAATGAAGCCAAAATTAAGTAATACCAATTAAATCATAGTTCTCTTCATGCACCAAAGCTTTCAACTTACCTATTTTGCTTGGCAGACTTCATTTATTCATTTTTATTTAATTCATTGACACCTTTTGCACACGTATGTTGCATGTTTTTTTTAATTTTGTACAGATGGTACCAATTCCAATGGTTGTTTGTAACATGGGAACCTTTGTATCACCTGCTATAGCCCTCTCCCCATTCCACCCACCAATAAGGACTGACCCCTGTCTGATCTGTCTGCCCCATTATAATCTAATTCTCCCTCCCCCCTCGATCCTAGTTTAACCAATAGCCGCCCAGCCAATAGCCGTTTGGCAGCCAGGAAAAGGCTGTAGATTTCCGGGTGGACGCCATATGGCGTCCTCCCGCACATGCGCAGTTTTCGCGTTTGCAGAGCCACGCAGCGGCGCGATCTGTCACCGGCCGTGTACCTCGGAGACGGCCGATGACAGATCTGGTTACCAGCCCCCGTTGTTGGTACCATGTGACCTGCTGTGACCAATCACAGCAGGTCACATGACAGTTGTATACAATGGATGGCTTCATTCATGCCATCCATTGTATACTAGTGTCTAGCTGTGAATGGTCACAGTGATCACATGCACATGTCAAAAAAAAATATGATCAGTTCCCCAAAGTAGTACAATGTTACTATGGTAACATTGTACTACTTTGGACATAGTGAAATTTGAAACAAAAATCTTAAAAAAAAGAAAAAAAAATGTAATTAAAAATAATAAAAAAATTAAAAACTATATATATATTTTTTCATACTGTCACCAGTCAGTGTCGCTGATCACCGCCATGCCAGTGATATGATGACACTGTACTGCACTGGTGACAGTATGAAAAAAAAAAAATTGTGAAAATAATTTTTTCAATTTGTTAATTTTCCGGGGTCATTTGGGGGATATCTGTACTGTTCTGACATTCTTGGACCTCAAGAAATTAGATTGGCTGTCAGTATCAATATTCAGATATATCCCATAGTTTGTGAACTCTAGAACTTTCCTACAAACTTAAAAATACATCCTAATTTGGGTTATTTTCACCAAAGACATGTAGTAGAATACATCTTGGTCTAACTTTATGAAGAACAATTATTTATTTGCAAACTTTTATAACAGAAACAAAGAAAACATGTTCCCCCAGCACAACAGACCCCCTTCCATTTAGGTGCAAACCATCTCTAGCATATAGGTTTCACCCCAATGAAAAGTCAGCCCAGTGCTCTAGAACAGTGTTTCTCAACCTTTTTTCAGTCAAGGCACCCTTTAAAATTCTGCACAATCTCAAGACATCCCATTCTAAAATGTATAAAAAAATATTCTACACACATCCAGAATACCCAACATTAGAGGTGAATTATTCTTCCAAAGCAAATACACCTTTGTACTCTGGTACAAACTAGTATTCCAGTGTGTTTCTTTCCCTCACTGCTAAGGTGACCCCAGTGCTGACAGAGGGGCAAACAAGGATGATGTGTATGCACCCGATGTCTTTCTTATCAACTGATGATGTCGTTGGTTGTTAGGATACAGGGAGCTAGAAGGTCATAAAAGTGCACAATGAAAACCTGTGACTGTGTACTAAAGGGCAGGATGTATCCACTTGCTGGCTTGTATACAATTTTTGGGCATTTTGCCAAGGCACCCTTGAAGAAGCCTGAAGGCACCCTGGTTGAAGAAAAGCTGCTCTAGAAACCCAAACCCTTCCCTCTTACACCAGGTCTTTAGCCATGCATTGAGTTCTCTAATCTCCCCCTGTCTTTCCTGAGTTACGCATTGCATAGGTAATATTTCAGAGAATATCACCTTGGAGGTCCTTCCCTTCAACTTGCAACCTAATTCTTTAAATTGATTCTTAAGGAGTCTCCACCTTCCATGTGTTCTGTCATTGTTTCCAACATGGGCCAAGACAGCTGGGTCATGCTCAGCCCCTCCCAGTAATTTATCAACCTGGTCCACATGCCTAACCCTGGCACCGGGGAAACAGCAAACGGTTAGGTTGAGGCAATCCTGGTGACAAAATTATTCTATCATTCCTTCCGATTATAGATTCCCCTACTACCACCAACTGTCTAGGCCGGGTGTCGGCAACCCGCGGTTCCAGAGCCGCATGCGGCTCTTTTTCACCTTGGCTGCGGCTCCGGAGCACACTGCCCACCAGGTGACAGGCAATAGGGCAGCAATGGGCAAACTACGGCCCGGCGGACCTTTTAATCAGGTCCGCGGAGCTAGGCTCCCGCTAGGCTCCTCTCACAGTCCGCCCTGAAGACCGGTGTAGCATGAAAATCTGTCTCCTATGAGGATCTGTCCCCCTCGACGTATCTGCGCATGTGCCGGAGATCGCCGATCGGCTGCTAATGCCTGAAACAGGCACATGCGCAGATACGTCGAGGGGGACAGATCCTCATAGGAGACAGATTTTCTTGCTACACCGGAACGGCGCGGGAACACGGCGAGAGGAACACGCGGAGCAAAGGTAAGTGAATTGACACAGGGAGGACTTGGGGACTTAATATAGGGAATGAATTACTATAGGGGGGATGAATTACTATGGGGGATGAATTACTATATGGGGGATGAATTACTATGGGGAATTAATTATATGGGGGATGAATTACTATATGGGGGATGAATTACTATAGGGGGGATGAATTACTATAGGGGGGATGAATTACTATATGGGGGATGAATTACTATATGGGGGATGAATGACTATAGGGGGGATGAATTACTATATGGGGGATGAATGACTATATGGGGGATGAATGACTATATGGGGGATGAATTACTATATGGGGGATGAATTACTATGGGGGATGAATTACTATATGGGGGATGAATTACTATATGGGGGATGAATTACTATATGGGGGATGAATTACTATAGGGGGGGTGAATTACTATATGGGGGATGAATTACTATATGGAGGATGAATTACTATAGGGGGGATGAATTACTATAGGGGGGATGAATTACTATATGGGGGATGAATTACTATATGGGGAATGAATTACTATATGGAGGATGAATTACTATAGGGGGGATGAATTACTATAGGGGGGATGAATTACTATATGGGGGATGAATTACTATGGGGGATGAATTACTATATGGGGGATGTATTTTCAGTTTTAAAAATGTGGCTCTCAAAATAAATTTTAATCGTGGTTTTGGCGAGATTTGGCTCAGTTGAAAAAAAAAGGTTGCCCACCACTGACCTAAGGCTATGATTGTGATTATGACGATACACTGTGGCCCTGATTAACCCTTTGCTTACTGGGCCCTTAAACCCCTTCATGACCAGAGCGCTTTTTGCAATATATGCAGTGTCGGATTTGTTTTAAATGTTGCAATGGATTTGCGGCTCCCAGTCTTTTTTTCCCTCTCGGAAACGGGTCCAAGTGGCTCTTTATGTCTTAAAGGTTGCAGACCCCTGGTCTAGGCCTTCCTGCACTACCCTCACCAACCCTCCCAGATGGTCTACCCCCACCCGGCTGTTAGGGATAGCAGTGACATCCAGGGCTGCCACCCCTAAGTTTGCCACCCCCACATCTTCACCCAACTTGGCAAATCTGTTTGGGTGCTCAAAGCCAGGACTGGCCTTCCTTTTCTGTGAGCCCCTACCACTCCCTCTTATTACAGTAACCCATCTTCCTACTTGATAATCCTGACTAGCCCCTCCACCCTCCACGTCAATCCCATTAGCTACCTGCTTGGAGAGCAGAAGACCCCTTTCAAGGTTGTCTGTTCTGCCCAGTGTTGCAAATTGGTCCTCCTGATCTCTAACGCAAGCTTTAAGAAGGGCAACCCGCTCACGTGTTGCAGCTGTATCCATCCTGGAGCGGTTTTCTCCACTGCACAAAACCTTCAACCCTGCTAGCACACATTATCCCAGTTGCAATATTAATATTCCTAACAGGAAATATCAGTTGTCACTTACAGGTTAGAAGACTAATCAAATTAATTAAATGTCCACTTGATCAAAGGTCCAGCAAGCAAAACACAGGCAAGCTCAGAGTGAGCTGTACAGAAAGGTATACAGTACATGGAGCACTTGTGACCAATTAACCCCTCCCCTTAATTAGCAGACTGAAGGAAGGAAAGGAAAAAAAAATCTATTTAAAAAGTGACAGAAAAGGTGCTTTAAAAAAAGTAAAAGCTGCTAGCAAGACACTCACACTTCCCACTGTTTTTAGCTTCCAGCCGGCAAAATGTGCCAGATCACCGAGAAATGATCAGACAGTCCGGCCAGCTGAAGATGGAAGCGATTAAATACTTTATGGTCTTTGATTGGCTCTATCATGATGGAGGACTGGAGCAAGGTCATGACGTCACATCTGGTCGGTGACGGAAGTAAACACTTTTCTTTTTTAAAGCAAAAGTTCCAAAGATCTTTTGAATTTAAAGGAGATTTGGGGTCAGATCTCTTCTTAAAGAGGACTTGCCATGCATATTTCTATTACAATGGATGTTTATAATCCTTGTAATATGGATAAAAGTGATAAAAACAAAACAAAATAAAAAAACAAAAAAGGGACAGTGTAAAAATAAAAAAAGCAAAAACATTTTTTTTTAAAAGGTTCACCTCCCCCCAATCCCTCCATGCTCGTGCACAGAGGCAAACGTATACATAAATCACGCACGCATATGTAAAACAATGTTCACAGCACACATGTGAGTTATTGCTGCAAACATTAGAGCGAGAGCAATAACTCTAGTGCTAGATCTCCTCGGTAACTGTACCTGTAAACAGGTAACCTGTAAAAATGTTTAGAGCGTCACCTATGGAGATTTTTAAATACCGTGGTTTGTAGCCATTCCACAAGCGTGTGAAATTTTAAAGCGTGACTTGTTAGGTATCTATTTACTCGCTGTAACATCTTCTTTCATATTTTACCAAAAATTTGGGATACATATTGTGTTTTTTTTGCTTAATTCACTAAAGTGTATTTTTTCACACAAAACACACGCGTTTAAAAAACAGCTGAGCAATTACCACGGCATAAAAAATTGCAATGATTGCCATTTCATTCTCTAGGGTCTTTGCTAATATATATATATATATATATATATATATATATATATATATATATAATGTTTGGGGTTAAAAGTAATTTTCTAGCAATAAATATGGATTTAAAGATGTAAACAACACGTCTTGGTCTTCAAGTGGATATTCTAAGTCACAATGCAGGATTGTTCTCCACAATTTATTGCATTTCATCTGTACTGTGGGGCTACCCATGGGGTGGTGGATTGTTTAGATATTTTTTGCTCCAGTTTCACTGTTTTTTTATGTCTCTCACACAACAAGACCTCCAGTAAAAAATAAACTCAGGTCTTTCAGAAATTAAAAAAAAAAAAAAGTTATACAGGGAACAAATATAATAATAAATATGGCTTAATGTGTTTTGAAAAAGTAAGAAAGCATAAATGCAACATTTTAAATAAATAAAATGCACAACGTCTTCAATTCAATCTTAAAATGGAAAAAAAAAGCTATGCAAGGAATAAGGCAATAAACAAACATAAATCAACTGTAATGTTTTTCAAATGTCTTTACATCGATTTACTTTTTCAAACACCCTTTGAGCTGTACAGCACAAAATACAGGACAGTGCTTTAGTCTGCATTAATGGAGACATTTATGTAAAATAAGAGTAAATAGAATACCACAAACACAGACTCAGCAGAAAGCGAGTAAATACACTTTGTAAACTGTTCATTTGTATGTTTCAGTATGTACATACCTGTAACTCCTCCAGAAGGTCAAAGTTTTGTTTGCGTAAGCCATTATTTGCCTTTTCTAACTTATTTATTCTCTGATTGTCACTGAGCGGTGAGGAGTCTATCAGTTCGTCTTGCAGCACATGATACTCCACCTCATAGTCTTGCAGCTGCTTTGAAATGTTCATTTCAAACACCTAAAGGCAAACATAGTACTGTTATGGATCTCATGCAGTGATACAAAGACCCAAGATCCTGCCTAAATTAGCAATCCTGATAGCCCTTACCTTTTTGTTGCCCCGACTTAAGGCAACAGAACCGTTTCCAGCTGGGCAGGTCAGTATGCCTTTCGTTGGCTACAAATTAGCACACCTATTACTTATTTGCCCCCCCCCCCCCCCCCCCCATTATGCATGGCGCCCACAAATCAGATCTCTTCACTGTGAGTCCCATGGACAACATGCTGTGTGCACTGTGATCCCAACTACTCTCCCCTGTATACTTGTGAATACAGAATTTTCTGAAGCTACAGAAATTGGGTGCAATCTGGTGACACTTTTGCCCAGTACACGCGTTGAGAATATTGGACGAAAAATACCGCTTTCGAAGCAATTGTCCAATTGTCTGATTGTTATTACACAACTTTTGAGAGCCGATCACGACAGTTCATGAAAAATTATCCCAAGGGACAAGCACAAAAAAAATGTTCTCATATGACAACAGAATGAATGATTTTCGTTTAATCAGTGCAGTATTTGTCCGAAAAAAACGAGCAATCAAGACCACGCATGCTCAGAAACTAAATACATTACATTACATCACTTCCGAAATTGCATTCTTATAACTTTAGTAACCTCTTAATTTTTTATATGAGACTAGCATGCAAAAAAGATTTAAAAAAACTAAAAAAACGGACGATCATTCATCCGATATTCTTATTGTATGTGTTCGAGGATTTTCCCTCAAATTCCCCACCACCTTGTCAAGAATAGGAAACAAAGAAACACGTAACTGACTACATCACCTGGTTTATATGTCTTCTCCATTTGAACCAACCCCAGGTTTGGAAGAGTGTTCTTTATGAATTCCACAATGGATTCAAGGTTTTCTTGCTGTAGTATTAGGGGTTTATGACTCCCCAGCAAACTTAGAGCTACTTTAAATATAACTTCTGATCCCTGGAGAAAAATCAGATCTAAGAGAAGAACAGAGGGGAATGAAAAGTAATGATGAGCACAGCCAAGTCAGATATACTTTAGAAGAAAAATTAACAACAGTGGGAAACAAAAAAATGAACAGCATTTCTTTTGTGTGAAACTTCGGCATCTCCATCCTTTGTGTTCCCATTAGCAGAATTTCCCTTACTTGGTGTCAGAAAAATGATAAGAAATCCAGCCAATGGGGACAGAGAGGGGGGGGGGGGGGGGGAAAGAGGGAAAGAGATACAGAGAGAGAGAGAGAGAGAGAGAGAGAGAGAGAGGGAGGGGGGGTGAGGGTGAAAGAGAGAGAGGGTAAAAAGAGAGAGAGGTGGAAAAAGAGAGAGAGAGGGGGGGAAGAGAGGGCGTGGGAGGTGGGGGGAGAGAGGGGGAGAAGGGGAAAGAGAGAGGGGGGAAAAAGAGAGAGGGGAAAGAGAGAGGGGGAAAAGAGAGAGGGGGGAAAGAGAGAGAGGGGGGAAAGAGAGAGGGGGAAAGAGAGAGGAGGGGGGAAAAGAGAGAGGGGGGAAAGAGAGAGGGGGGAAAGAGAGAGGGGGGGAAAGAGAGAGGGGGGAAAAGAGAGGGGGGGAAAGAGAGAGAGAGGGGGAAAGAGAGAGAGGGGGATAAGAGAGGGGGGAGATGAGAGAGGGGGGTGAGAGAGAGAGATGAGAGAGATGAGAGAGAGAGAGGGGGGGAAGAGAGAGATAGTGAGAGAGAGAGAAATATATATAGAGAGAGGAGATCGATCAGGCAGGCACGGGGACAAAACAGGCAGGAGGTGAAGGTGAGGAAGAGATGCTGAGCATACAGACCTGGAGGACATGAAATGTGGCACTGCAGGCATGATGTAGGAGATTGAGTGCATTGTGCAATTTCTTCACATACCTTTTTGAAGTGAAGAAGTTTGTGTAATGCAGGCATATGGTAGAGCTAAGGGCTAAGTCCACCTTTAAAAAAATACACATTTTTTTTTTCACAGGAATCTGAAAAGCATTGCACTCACAATCAGTGGGTAGCAGATGCAATGGCTTCTGCAGACTCTTTCTCCAGCTCCCTTCCCATACTGAAGTATGGGCTTTCAGATGGTTAGCTGAAGAATGTGTCAATGGACTACTAGTGTGGGGATCACTGCATTTGTGTTCCATTGAGAACTACACATCTGCCTGCTGCAGTGGCAGTCAGAATTTGTAGTTTACCATTCACAGATCTCTGTAAAAGAATGATGCCACTGTTTGGGTAGAGCCCTGCACAGCCGTGCCAATTTCAAAAGCGACAGCTGCTGTGAGTGAAAAGAATCACTGCATGCTTTCAAGGGGTGGGATTTACTTGGTACCATGTTACACCCTAAATAAGGCCCCATTCCCACCCAAGATTTCTGTAGCTTGCAGCTCAATCATATCATATTAGATGATCTCCTCCCCCTAGTGTTTTCCATTGGCTAAAACAAAAAGCCTGAGGCTTGATACACATATAAAGCATCTGTAAACTCTTCTAAAAATCACCAATATACACTTGCAAAAATGCTCAAAAAAGTTCAAATAAAAAAACTCCTGAAAATCCCTCTGCTCAGGTGTGAATGCAACCATTAGGATGTAGTGGGTTTTTTCAAGAATCTTTAAGCGTTTTCTTTTTTTGGAGCAGAATTGCAAGTTGTTGCAGCTTCTGTCAAGCGTTTTTCAAATAGGAGCTGAGAGTTGCTGTTTGAGCTGAAAATGCAAAAAAAATGCTTGAAAAACACTCATGTTGTGCTTTTCAGGCATTTCCATTGAAGTCTGTGGGGACAAAAGCTCTCAATTCTGCCTAAAAAATAGCTCATGTACTTTGACGTTTTGCTACAAGTGACAGATGTGAAGAATGGCTATTGAAAACAGTAGGTCTTTGCTTGCTGAGCGTTTTTGATCTTCGAGCTACAAACAAGTGTGAATGGGGCCTTAGGAATTCCCTAGTTTCTCTCCATACTTGGTGGACGTTGTTTGTGCATATATGCAGATAATATTATTATTATTATACAGGATTTCTAGAGCGCCAATAGTTTGCTCAGCGCTTTACAATATAACAGGAGACAATACAGTTCAATACAAGAGGGTTAGGAGGGCCCTGCTCCTTGAAGCTTACAATCTAGGATATGCCTACATTGACACCTAAGCGTCAAGTTTTTAAGCATTTTTTCAGGTGCTTTTTTTTTTTAACCAATCCTGAGGATTTACCCCCCTTCCTGACCAGGCCATTTTTTGCGTTACGGCGCTGTGTTACTTTAACTGACAGTTGCATGGTAATGCAAGGCTGCACCCACATGAAATTTATGTCCTTTTTTTTGCCCACGAATTGAGCCTTCTTTCGGTGGTATTTGATCGCCTGTGCAGTTTTCTTTTTTGTGCTATTAAAAAAAAAAGACCAACAATTCTGAGAAAAAAAAAAACCTATATTTTTTACTTTTTGCTATTAAATATGTCCAGTAAAAAAAAATGTAAAAAATCTAATTTCGTTATCAATTTAGACCGAAATGTATTTTGCTACATGTCTTTGCTAAACAAAATCCCAATATGTGTAATTGAATTGGTTTACATGAAAGTTATAGCGTTTATATATTATGGTATATATACTGGAACTTTTTTTTTAAAATATAATTTTTACTAGAAATGGTGGCAATCAGCGACTTATCACAGCATTGCGGCGGGCATTCTGACACTGGGGGAACTGACTTGGTGTCAATGACATCACCAATGACACCAATACAGTGACCAGTGCTACAAAAAAAAAAAAAAAAAAAAAAAAAAGCACTGACACTACTAATGGCACTGGGCAGGTGTGCTTTACTGTAAACACACTGCTTTGCATGGCTATGCTATGCACAGCCATCCAAGGCAGTGTGCACGATCTGACAGGGAGGAGAACGGTTTTGTTTACAAACAGTTCTCCTTCCCTGTTGGAGATGCTCAGCAATCGCCGTGCACCAGCAAGTAATCGTGCACACCCCCTACCCGGCAATTCAAAATTATGTATCTATACGTGATTTTGCACACCTGTGCCACCCTGTAGCAATATTTCTGCTATAGGGCGGTCGGGAAGCAATTAAAGGAGCTACAGGAATATCTGGCAAGTACTGGCTGTGTGGTACATGTAACAACAATCTCTTGTATTCTTCATATGTCTGGGCTATGGGGAAGAGTGGCAAGATGGAAGAAAAACATCCAAGCCCGGCTACATTTTGCAAAAACACATCTGAAGTCTCCCAAAAGCACGTGGGAAAAAGTGTAATGGTCTGATGAAAGCAAGGTTGAACTTTTTGGCCAGAATTCCAAAAGATATGTTTAGCTAAAAAACAACACTGCACATCACCAAAAGAACACCATACCCACAGTGAAGCATGGTGGTGGCAGCATCATGCTTTGGGGCTGTTTTCTTCAGCTGGAACTGGGGTCTTAGTCAATGTAGAGGGAATTATGAACAGAATACCAGTCAATAATGGCACAAAACCTTCAGGCTTCTGCTAGAAAGCTGAACATGAAGAGGAACTTCATCTTTCAGCATGGCAACGACCCAAAGCATACATTCAAATCAACAAAGGAATGGCTTCACCAGAAGAAGATTCAAGTTTTGGAATGGCCCAGCCACAGCCCAGACCTAAATCCGATGGAAAATCTGTGGGGTGATCAGAAGAGGGCTGTGCACAGGAGATGCCCTTGCAATCTGACAGATTTGGAGTGTTTTTGCAAAGAAGAGAGGGCAATATTGCCAAGTCAAGATGTGCCATGCTGATAGACTCATACCCAAAAAGACTGAGTGCTGTAATAAAATCAAAAGGGGCTTCAACAAAGTATTAGTTTAAGGGTGTGCACACTTATGCAACCAAGAAGTTCTGGAATGTTGTTGCACAATTGCAATGTGATTTGTCACATGACAATCGCAGCAGAATTGCCCTGTGTTTTTAGGTGCTATTGAAATTAATGGCACCTGAACACGATGATATGCGATTTGACATTTTAACAGCGCGATTTGAAATCGCAGGCAGAATGGCGGGATTCCGCCTGTGATTAAAAATGCCTATATGGGAACGGAGCCTCAGGCTTTTCCATCGAAATCTAGAGGACAAAATTGCTCAATTCCGCCTGAGTGGTTTAAAATAAAATTGCTTTTTAAAGCGGAGTTCCAGATGTTTTTGTGTTTATTAAAAGTCAGCAGCTACAAAAACTGTAGCTGCTGACTTTTAATAAACGCACACTTAGGCTACTTTCAAACCGATCCGCCGCAAAAACGCATAGACATTTTTACCGCGCTTTTGCCGCACTGAACATTTTTTTTAACGGACATGTGACTTAAAAACTGCACCAAACTGCAGGTGTTTTCCATTGATTTCAATGGGAAGAGGCGCTTTTTCTTTTAACTCACCAAACATGCTCCAAAGATGTTTTTACATCACACCACAAGCACAGCGCCTCAGTGTGAAAACATACATAGAAATACGTTCACAAACATAGGGAAGCATTTTTCTTGAGCTTTTCAGGTGCTTTTTGTAACGCAAAAATGCTTCAAAAACTCCCCAGTGTGAAAATAGCCTTACATGTCCCAGGACGCTCAACTTCGCTATCACTCTGCCTCTTCTCTCCACGGTGCCGGCATCTCAACTGTGGGCACCAGGTTGTGACAGCTTGCAGCTTCACAGCCGGGTGTCCACAAGCGAGAGTCATGCTGCGCCTCCTGATTGGTCTGGCAGTCTTCTGGGACCTGAAAAGGTTCCCAGGAGAATGTGGGGGGAAGGGGGAGAACTTCTGGCTCACTTTGCCACGGCAAACTGAGCTGGAAGTGGGAGCGGGGACCTGTTGAACGCAATAAACGTGCGTTCAGACGTCGATTCTATCAGCGTTTCAAATGCAAAATGCGGCTAAACACAGCAAATCGCGTTTATAAGCGTTTGAAATTTTTTTTAACTCTTCCAGTTCCCAATGCTGTTCAGAGCCTTTTTTAATCATGAAAAATGCATGCAAAGAGTTTTCAAGGTGCT